ATTATTAGAATAGATAATAAATGAAAAAAATCTTGTTTTGTAGAACAAATAATCTGCTAAATTCTTACATTATTAGTTATAATAGCAAATAAAATGTTGATTTTAAAATTGTATTTGTTGTAATAAATATTGAATATTTTACCAGTTTATGTTTTATGATGATAAATAATTTAAAAAATGATAAATAAATCAAATGTTTTTTATTAGTATTAGAAATGTTGCAAATATTATTTGTATTTATTTATTAATTCTCCCTCAAAGTAGGAATTATGTCACTATGACTTTAATCACACTGTTTTTCATGAGGAATATGTTTTATTTTAATGTAAAACCATTAATTTCCTCCCAATATAAACATATTTGCAGGTTGCCGATACGATGAACTGCAGATTATTTGGCCTCCTTCATCACTAATAATCAGTTTCAGGCCTTAAACATATCAGTCGACCCCTCATTAGTTCTTCTTCTTCTGTTTATGACTGAATCAACACATGTGTCCACTGGGGTCACTTGATCCGCTCAGACAGTGAAACTATATTTATATAAAGTTGGTGCATTTATTGTCAAACAACACAGAAGTGAAACATACACATTACAGTACAGTGATTGATCGTCACTATTCCCCAAAGTCAGAGTGTGACTTTAATCAATAAGAAAACATCAATTAAACTGTACATTTCCCCCCAAAACAGTAAACTGGGCGCAAAAACTGGACACTGCTAACGTCTTGTTGCTTACTGGGTGGACGGACAGGTCCACGAAATGGCTAAAAAACTGTTGGGATTAGAGATGTCCCAGCGTTTCTAACTTCTACCCAGCCCACACTGAGGCCGACATAATCTGTTCTGATCCATCTGCAAAAGGTTCAGCACGACTTCCCAAAGCCAGAAGTCTTCAATCTATTAGTGTTTGATAGTGGGTTGATGGTTCCAATGGTTTTCTGGTGAGTCAAATACATGCAACACATCAGTGTCCTGCAGGTTCTCATCATTTAAAGACTCCCTCTGGTTTTCTGCATCGCTAACATTTCCATATGAGGTTTGTTTTTCAGGCTATCAAGAGGGAATTTCTTTTCCGCATTGAATCGTGATCAGTTGAGTTTGGCTTTTTGGACAACAATTCACAAAATAAAGCATCTTTCATGTCAAAGTAAGCAATTCATTACAGATGTAAAATAAGTGACTGCACAAGTGTTCACGCCCTTCCAGTCAGGATTTAGTAGACACACTGGTGGGTCCAGGTGTAGCTTTGAGACTGTGTTGGTCTCAATCAGTCTGAACATCTAGATGCTGGAATTTGACCTCATTCTTGGTCGTTAACTGATCAAACTCTGTCAGGTTACTCAGGGACAGAGAGTGAGCAGCCCTTTTCAAGTCCAACCACAGATTCTCGGGTGGGTTGAGGTCTGGACTCTGACTGGGCCTCCAGAACATCCACCTTGTTGTCTTTAAACTGCTTCTGTGGAGCTTTGGCTGTTTGCTTCGGCTCATTGTCTTGACAGAAAACATGTCTTCTCCAAGTCTCAGTTCTCCTGCAGACTGCATCAGGTTGTCCTCCAGGAGTTCTCTGCACTTCACTGCATTCATTCACCCTCTACCTTTACAAGCCTTCCAGGCTGCTGCTGAGAAGATCCCCACATCATGATGCTGCCACCACCGTGCTTCACATCATGATGCTGCCACCACCGTGCTTCATCATGACGCTGCCACCACCGTGCTTCACATCATGATGCTGCCACCACCGTGCTTCACAGTGGGGATCGGGTGTTTGTGATGATGTGTAGTGTTTGGTGTCCTACAAACATGGCGTCTAGTCTGATGGACAAAAAAACTCTATTTTGGTCTAATCTGACCAAAGAACCTTCTTCCAGTTGACTTCAGAGTCTCCCACATGCCTTCTGTTTGAACTCTAGTCCAGGTTTAATATGAACTTTTTCCAACACTGTCTTTCTCCCATAAAGCTTTGACTGTTGTTGTCTCTCCTGTTTCAGTCGCTGAAGCTCATAACTCCTTCAGAGGAGTCATAGGCGTCTTGGTGGCCTCCCTCACTGGTCTGTTCTTGCTCCGTCACTCAGTTCTTGAGAACGACCTGCTTTAGGCAGATTTATAAATGTTCCACGTCCTTCCATATCTTAATGATGGATTAAACTCCAACTCCTTTTCAAAAAGCTGCTTTAAGTGTCCTTCAGTCTTCATGGTGTAGTTCTATCCAGGAGTGCTGGTTCACCACTGACGATGCAGACGTCTTTATACTTGGTGAGCCACTTTGAAGCGAGTAAATACTTATGCAATCATTTACTTTTCATTTCATGTTTCAAATTAATTGACATTACTTTGTAGGAATCTGTTTTCACTTTGACACCAAAGAAAGTCTTGTGATGTGCTTTGTCATTAAAAAAGTAAAAATTATAGTGACCATGATGTAATGTTGGAAAGCAATAAAAGTAGAAAACTTCCACGAGGCGTGAATACGTTTTATAGGAACCGTAACAAACTTAAAGAACCAATCTTCAGAATTACTTTCCAGTTTGAACACGTGTTGCTGAGTTACGCAAAAGTGAAAGATATTTAATTTAGTGGAGAAGAAAAGCAACAAATCATCAGAGATGTTTGGAGGTTTTTGCTTAATAGCTGATTAAAGGAAAATCTTTAACAGTTTAATCGATTGTCTCGCATCCGACGACGTCAAAGTCAAACCATGTAAATGTCTTTAATGTTGGAAAAGTGCTGCAGAGTTTGTCTTTAATCAGATTAAAGGTCTCAGAGGATGAAGTGCTACGTGTTGTCGACACTGTGAACATGTAAAGAAAGATTTCTGGCCACAAACAATAATCATTCACTCGACGTTGCTTTGAGAAAATGCCGCCTAAATGTGTTTGGGTGTCTTTGCTGAGGAGCCGGTTGTTCTCTGGTTGTTATTCATGTTGTGGGTTTCAGTCGGTGCACAGAAACGTTCTGCTAACGGGTTTAACTGGAGCTGCAGGAAATCAGCGGTTCAATCTGGAAAACAACCACACGCCTCCGTGCAGGTGAACACGGCTAACGTTAGCAGTAGACGTGTCGCAGCACGAGTCTAAGTAATGCGGGGAACAGAGAAAGAACGAGTCCGGTCAGGGAAGCCGAGACGCCAAGAGCCAGAGTCCTCCTCCCCAGCAGGAGCAGCAGGGCGGCCAGCAGCACCAAGGCCTCATGTCAGGTGACGGCGTTCAGGCTCTGGCCTCCCTCGGTCGGGGTGAAGAACTGGACTTTGGCGAGTCCGGAGTTGTTCCTGCGCAGGCTGCCGCTGCTCCCGGCGCCTTTACGCATGGAGTTGTTGCGTCGCATCGAGTTCCGCTTCCTCAGCGAGTTCTGGTGCGACAGCTCGCTCTTCTGCAGGGTTTGGATCAAGATGGACGGCTTCTCGTCCAGCTCTCGGGCGCTGCAGCGCGGCGTCGCCACCTTCAGGACACATAGCAGGACTTTTAGTGCAATAAATGTGTTTTCTGTCATTTGGCTCAACTTTCCTGCTTCCTGTCTTGCTTTCACCTGAGATGTATTTAATAGTGCATCATCAGTCAAACTACGAGCTTCTGTGAGTTCATCTGGATAGCAGCTTTTACAAAATACTCGCTCACAGTGACTAGGTTTACATTCTTTGTAAATATGATCTACCTTAAAAACACAGACACCGTTTTACATGCTGTCATCTCATCATACCTGGATCACAGCAGCAGCCAGAATGTACAAAATTCAGCTGCTGGACTTTTAACCAGAGCCAACAAACACGATCACATCAGTCCCGTCTCTTTAGATTGGCTCCTACACTTTGTTTTAAGAGTTGATTGATCTCTAAGACCCCTCATTGCGTCTCTCACAGCTACGTCTCTGACCTCTCAGTGGTATAAACTGGTCTATGATCTGAAAATAAGATTGTAATACATGAATTCTTTGTTCCTCCTGTTGCATTTCTTTTGAGAGTTGGTGTTGTAATAGTAAATTAAAAGGAAGATAATCAATGATCAGGATGAGATTATCAACAGAAAGAAGCATCAGTCTGATTATACACGGCGGGATCCTGTTAAACTAAGTTTGGTGACATTTTGCTCTGATAGTTTGTGTTATTGTGGATCTTTATTTAAAGTTTTACCTTCACTGTGTTTCCAAACTTGGAGTAGTCCACCGAGTACACGCCCTCCTCCTCCGTTACTATGGGAACGAAGCGGTGGCCCCACTGGATCTCCTCGGAGACGTAGGAGGTCCGGGCCTGCGTGGTGATGCCGGTCGTCTCCACGACTCCCTCCAGGATGACGATGACCTCCAGGTCGCTGCACTGCAGCTCCATGGCCGACAGGTCGTACAGCGGGCTGAGAGGACAGACAACACGCTGGAGTCATGAATCTCAGACAAGATATGTTTCTTATCAACAACATGCATGTGTGTCCAGCAGGTGGAGGTAGAGAGCCGTCCACAGCGTTCACTCATGTCTGGTGTGAAGTTTGTGAACCTGGTTTTGTCGATGACGTGGCAGATGATGAGCGGCGCGAGCAGGAAGAGGCTGTTACTGGCGACGGCGCTCTCCGTCTGGACGTCGATCTGATGGATGGGAATCACCTCCCCCTCCGGCGTGGTGGTCTTCCTCACCACCTGCAGGAGACGAACACTTCTAGTTAATAAAGGGCTCATTTATTTGCTGTTAGACAATCTTAGGGCCGCTTTTTGACATTACAGAAGAGTTCAGAAGTAATTTGCAAACATAAAAGATGATAGAAGCTAAAACACAACAAGAACACAGTATGTTCAGACTTTACAGGGGAACAGCGTCATCGAAAACCAGCTTGTGTTCTTCCATAAGTTTAACTTAACCGTCCGAGTACCTTCAAGTTTACTGACATCTTTTATCCTTGGGTTCAGTTTGACCCCCAGCAATTTAAACCTCCAGAAAACATCGTAGTTAAAATTGTTACCTGAGTTTATGTCTAAATAAAAAACTAAAATGCATCAAGTAAAAACACCAGAATGGTTCTTCAGAGGTTGTAAAGCCGAGGTGCAGTGGACAACCACCTGTAACCGGACAGTCGCTCCGATGATCATGCTCTTCCTCAGGTCTCCGATTCGAATCATGAAGCACAGTCGGTTGTTCCTGACGGCGATCACGGCGTGGCGGCTGAAGATCAGCGTCTCGGCGCGACGGTTCGACTGAGCCGTCTTCATGAAGATACAACCTGAGGACGGAAAAAACGGTCGTGACGGTTAGTTAATATAGAACAGGGAAGTCTTTAGAGGTTAATTGACCCATTTTGTGGGATAATCTGTGTTATTTAGGGTGTAAATAGAACTTCATCCAGAATGAATCAACCTGCCAGATGTAAACGAAACCTGCAGTGAGGAACATTTGTCTCCCCCTTCTGGCAGTGAGAGGAATTACACAAACACTGTTGCCGTGTACCTTTTCTTTTTCAGATTGTATTGATTCCTCTGAACTTAAAGTTTGTTTTTTATCTGCAGCATCACAAACTTTTCTTGGATGTTTCACATATTTTTCCTCTGTTGGCTCCACTTTACTCCTATTTGCTGGAACCTACTTGATGTAAATCACATCCACCAGAGTGGGAATGTCACCATAGAAACCAGATTTAAAACTCCAGTTAACTGCAAACTACAGAGACATTTCCAACCACCAAACAACTGACTTTATAACCGCAATGTCGTCTCAAACACAAGAGTCAAAATCAACGTCTGTGCTGTGAATTCAGAGATGTTTCCACATAAAATGATCACACAGAGAGAAAGTTAGAGGAAGCAGAAAGTCCTGGTTTCTGTCAATCACAGGTGCAGGTGAGCCTTCTTCCTGAAGGGGGCGGGGCCAGCAGCAGCTCGGCTGTTTTCAAAGCTACAGAAGCTGAAATGACCGTTTAGCTCAAAACCCGGAGTTACACAGTCAATCTGAAATGAACCATCTTTGTGGTAATTTAACGTTTTTTTAAAGAAATATTCTGCAGACGCTAGACTTTTATTAATTTGCTAAAGAACGGCACAAAATTGTACCTTTAGGAGTTGATGAGGTCCTCTCAAAAAACACATTGGTTTTGGTTTTCTTGGGCAGGAGTTGAAGTTTGAACCTAATCTTCCCGTCTTTTGAAAGCTTCTAAACTAGAAAACCTTTTTGAAGTCTGGTCCACACCTACACGGATATGGGTTTGGCTTTTTGTTATGGATGACACTAATGAAGCACGGCAGACATTTAACCTGCACTGATGTATGTAGTTTAATCAACAGACATGTTCTGGGCCTTAAAAGTAGCGGTTTTTTTTTCATCTTTGTCCCAGCTGATCCTGGATCATCTCAAACATGGTCGGAGGTCATTAAGCATCACAGAAGTCTTTGTCATGGCGCCCTGTTGCTAGCTAAACTCCCACAATGCTCTCTGCTAGCCAAAATGAACAGCCTGTAGTCTGAGTGACCTCCTCCTCTGGTCTCTACAGTATTTAAACAGTAAGAGGCTCCATCTGGTGGAACAACCAGGTACTACAGCTGAGCGACGACACTTGAAGTCCGTCTTATCTGGGAAAATGGTATCAGATTGGAGACATAATAATTGATCGTAACATCTCTGGTTTTGGTTTATGCACTGGATCCAAATCAAAAAAACTTTGCTTTGCTCATGTTTCAGGTTCGTGTTGCTGTTTTTCTTCACAAAGGGGATTTAGAAAATGGTAAAGGAAGGGAAAAGTCTGCCAGGAATGTCAGGTTTATACCCAAAGTCTACTTAGTCAGACTGTAGCTAGAAGGTAAACAGAGCAGGTACTAGCTTTTTTCTAGGCTTCTGATTGGCCCACGTGGCTTCAGAGTTACATCGCCACCTGTTGTTTTGACTCTTGAGTTGTGTTTTTGCCTTTTCATGTGGTTGTTTTTTAAGACGAAGAGATGAAACCTTCCGGCCTACCCAGCATGACAGCGTTGATGATGAGTCCCACGATGTTCTGCAGGATGAGGACGGTGATGGCAGTCGGACACTGTTCCGTTATCATCCGTCCCCCGAAGCCGATGGTCACCTGAACCTCGATGGAGAACAGGAAGGCCGACGTGAACGACCTGAAGAGAAAAACAAGTTTTTTTTTTCACTTATCACTTTGGAGCCAGAACACTTTCTTTCTGCCAAACCGAGCCAGGCCTCAGCGTTGCAGAGTTTGGCAGATATGATGGAAACATTTTTAGAAAAGAAACTCCTCCTGCAGCTTTAAATCTGTCTGATGTTTACTGAATTCATCTTAAATCATTTGGACGTCGGCTCCCATTTAAGGCATCATTTGGTTCGTTGAGGTCTGAGACAAAGAAAGAGTCGCTGGATTCAGAAATCAGGACCAACAGAACTGGTCTTTGCCTTTTCTGTGTCATTGTTAGAAACAGCAGCTGAGTAAATGTCTGATGGAGACGTGAAAGGAGCCAAAAACTCTCTTGGCCTCCTGCAAGAAAGACAGGAGACGTTTCATAACTATGTGGCACAATTGATGTGTCTCTCTTCCCTCCTCTTCCTCTGTCCAGTTTAAAAATGGAGGACGAGGAAGAGGAGAAGAGGAGGAAGGAGGAAGGTTTGGATCAAGTGAGGATGGACAGAAAGGAGGCCGGTGCGCGCAAAAAGTGCAGAAAAAAACACACTTTAACCAAACAAACTGAACTTTTTACGAACTTTAGTGATACTCAAAGTGGTTCTGGTGGTTCTTACTTGACGTCGGTGACGCAGTGGGTCCCGTTCTGCCGGTCCGGGTCCAGGTCTCCGTGCGCAAACGCCACCAGCCACCAGCTCATGGCGAACAGCAGCCAGCTGCTGACGAACGTGGTGGTGAAGATGACCAGCGTGAAGCGCCATTTCAGGTCCACCAGCGTGGTGAACACGTCCTGCAGGAAGCGGCCCTGCTCGCGGATGTTCTTGTGCGCCAAGTTGCACGAGCCGTTCTTGGCGATGAAGCGCGCTTTGTTCACGCGGTCCCGGAACACCGGCTTGCGGGGCATCCGAGAGGCGAGTCCCGGCAGCCCGAACTCCTCCGGGATGATGCTTTTTCTCGCCAGCATCTTCTCCTCCTTCTGCTGCTGCGCAAGGAGAAGCGAAAATCTACTTTTAAATCCGTCCTCAGTGCGTCTTTACGCGCGGGTTCAACATGTCCACCTGCTGGAAAACGATCCGAGACGCACAAGTCGCTTCGCCTCCGTCGACTTTCGGGGATGTTTCGGAGTGAGCGCAGCGCGCCGCCTCCGTCCGGCTCCTCTGAGGCTCCTGTTGACGTAGTTTAACTTCCAGAGTCCAGAACCGCTCAGACCAGGACGCTGCTGCCTTCAAGGACTCCTCAAGGACAGTCGGAAAACACCACATTACGAGTGAAACCGAGTCACAGCTGGCCTTCTCCGAACTTTTACGCACCTCTCGCAGCCTCCAAAGGACTCAATTTATTGGAGCTCATAAATTTAATCATGAATTAAAACCTTTAATCATGAATGTTAATGGAATTATTCCTAAACGTAGATAAACCTTTTACGGTTTTTGGGAGTAAAAATGGAAGAAACAAGTGAATCTACAGGTGGAGAGGAAAACTAGAAGCAACAGGTCTCTGTTGAAGACTTTTATTTGGTGTTTTATAGCAGAATTGGTTATTTTATGTCTGCAGTTTTGTATTTTTACAGGCATATAGTGCTTAATTACCGATATCACAGCTGAATAAATGACCTGCAGCGAACTTTTATGGCAGATATGCAAATTCCGTGCGTAAAAATAGCTTTTTTTCTATCAAATATGCCTCTAAATTTACTTTAAATGCAATATTAAGTCTATTTTTTATGTTTCTTGTAGCATCTTGCATCAGTCAAGACATATTTTAATTGAAACTGGTGTTTAAATGCAGAAAGAAACTCTAATAATTTATAAATTTGGCAAGATCAGCTGTGAAAATGGTCTCCAAGCTGGTTATATGTTAGTCCAATGCACTAATAATGATTTAACTCAAATAAATAACAATAAAGGCAATTATGAACACACATTTAGAGACAAACACAAACATAGGGGGTGAAATGAGGCCAAAGTTTTGCTCGTATTTCCTGTTTTGCATCAGAGCAAATAAAAATCGATTACAAAAGTTTTCAATTTTCCTGCTCCAATTAATAAATTAACCACGTTTTTAAAAAGTAACACCACCATGTTGGATCTATATTTGCTATCTTAAACCCAGATTTGTGCAATTATTTGTTTTAAAAACAGCTAAATTAAACCTATTTCTTGATAACTTTTTCCATCACAAGTCACTTTATTTCGTCGTTCTCTGGTTTTATTCCTGTTCAGCAATCTGTCACCAGGTGGCGCCATTTAGCAACATATTAGAGTCTCACTTGCAGCAGGTTCAATAACAACAAAAAGCCTCACGTCACTCAAAACCATTTTATTATCATTTCAAGTGTAAAAAAAGAAGAAGAAAGAAATCAGGCACACATAAGAACAGCTCTCTACATGTTCAAACCCTTCGATATACAGGCGACTACAAACACAATGTACAGACGTTTAAAAAACCCTCCAAACTCCACCTGCACCTGTAAAGAAAAACACGTTTAAGTTGCATTCTTTGACAGTCGGATGTGCGTTCAGATCTGCATAGCTCTGACCACGAGTGCATAACGTTATGTGCAAAGGCAGAATTTTAAGTTTCCGCCGATTTGCTGCGTTTAAAATATGAAAGTTTGTGTTTTTTGTTCCCTAAAACTAAACAAAAAATGTCTGAAATCGGCTCTAAAAAGAGTCTTCGAGCAGGAAGTGAGTGCAAACTGTAACGCGAGGAAGAAAGATGCAAAAAAAACCACACATTTTCCTCATAAAACAGCGTCTGATGCTGCTTCAGAGACGGTTCGTGGACTTTACAAGGCAGCGGCGAACACACGGTTCATGCTGAACACAAAACTCTACAAAAAGGCAGCTGAATTAGGTTTAAAGAAGAGAAGCAGCATTAAGTCTTTAGCTCGGGAGGTGAAGGAGGACTTGGAGAACCTGCAGTGGATCAGAGGAAGGTGGAAACTTTGGAGAAGAAAGAAGAAATGTGGAGCTTAAACCCCACCGAGCTGGAAAGTGGCAGCTTGTTGAGATGAAGAGTACGATATAGTTTTAAAAAAAAGCTAAAATATTCTGTATTCATTCTGTACAGTACAAGTCATTTAAAAAACCTCATCCAAAAGCTAAGTAAGTATAGTTAATGTACAATAATACAAAGGGACAATAGCACCGCTCCCAGAGAGACGAGAGATTCTAGAAAAACCTGTGATCAAGATGCAGCGACGGAAGTGTTCAGGACAGAAAAACTGATCGATGTGATGAATATGAACGTGGAGAACGTGATATAACAAGTTTCGGCTCGTGTAAACTTTCACCAGAAACAGAAAGTTGGACTAGAAACGGTGAGTTTATACTGGGATGCTCCATTTTTACAAAAATTAACTAAAAGGAATCTCATTTAAACTGAAAAACTGTTTAAAAGTGACAGTTTTCAGGCAGGTTCTGGACTTTTCTACTGTGCAGAATCTTGTAATTATCAGAATTTCTCTCTAGATCTTGTTCAGATGTGTCTAAACGCAGAACAAGACGACTGTTAACCAACACCGGTTGGTTGATTATATTAACTGGGACGTGTAACTGCTGCACAAATTAAACTAATTAGAATTAACGTGTCATTTTGTGAACTTTGAAGCTGCTGGCAGGTAGATTTTGTTAACTGTGAACAGACTCAGGTTAGCCGTTTCCCTTCTGTTTCCAGTTCCTTATGCTAAGCTAGGCTAAGCTAGGCTAACCGGTCGCTGGATGTAGTTTTATATTCACCGTTCAGACACTGAAACTGCACCAGAAATTAGAAATAAAAACTCTTCCACAACTTTGTGTGCGTAAAAAGCTCACCTGCTCTGAAGTTTCTCGGCTTAATCAATGCAAACTGTGTAATAATTAAAAAATCGAATGTACAAGATTGTGTTATCTTGCGCAAATTCAAACTTTAAGTCTTCTGTGTTGACTCAAAATCTAGCTTTAAACTTCTCTAATCGTGTCTGAACATTGTATTTTTAGGTGGCGGCAACATGAGCTGACATATATTTAAAGTTCTCCTTTTAGCTCGACTTTGGTCTCCACCGACTACTAATAGTTTTCTTCCAGCTATTTGCTAACTGTGTCTGGCTGCTCATCAAGTGGCTAAAAATAAAAACAATGAGCTCAAAAGGGGCTAAAATACTGGACAGAAGTGCTAATCCTCTTTGGGTTTGACAGCTACTACGTGGTTAAGTTTGAGCTTTCGTTAGCTGGAGTCGATTGAACGCCTCCAAACCTCCAAAGTGAAGCATCTCCGGCTCCAGGAGCTTCTGTTGGGCGTCTATTGTCCCCAAAAGGTTACAAGTTCAGCAAAGCATGACAGACAGACAGCAGGTTCAGCGGCTGCAGCCGAGACACCGACAGTGTTTGTACTAATGTAGGAGCAGAAGTAAAACCGACAGAACGAAGGTGGAACAAGACCAGAACCAGCAAAGTTTAGCTTCAGAACTCGTGTTTGTTCATGTTTTTATCTGATGAAAAGTCGAAGATGTTTTGGGGAAAACACTCTAGCCGAAGATTTGTCAGAGAGCACACATGAAGCATTTTGTGGAAAAAGCTCATTTTGGTTTGTTTCTGGTCCGTTTCCACTTTAAACACCAAAGTTTGTTGGAGACACTTGACTTTCTTGAAGCTCTTTCACCCTGACCGTCTCACTTCGTTGACACAGATGAGGATTTTGCGAAGTCGACATCATCCGCCGTTGAAAAATAGGAAAAAAAAGACGTACAAGTCGACCTCCTGGTGGTGATTCCTGGCAGAATGAGGACGTTTTAAGGTCTGAAGTCTCCTCTTTGGCCAAAAAAAATCCACTTCATCCTCCAACATGATGTAAACGTTTCCTCGGGCGGACATGAAGCGGCGGCGACAGCTTTGTCATTTCTGTCGGTTTTACCTCCACGGCAGAACTCAACATCAAAATGTAGCGCGGAATAAACCAAAATATTAACATTTAAAATCCTTTCCAGTGAGTCGGATTTCATGATATAAAAACACTGACGAGGATTTTAAAAATAAAATATTTGTTCCTTCTTTATATTTGCTTAATAAAAGTGCTAAAAAATATAAACCGATACAGAAAGTGGTGCATAAATCTAAATGATAAGAAATGTTTTTTACACAAGATAATTAAAGACATCATATAAAAGAGCTCAGACTATTTCATAAACGATTCTCTACACACCATCTGAAGTTAAACCGTTTTCACTGTCACAAAACCTGAAATTAAATCAGTTCTATTCGAATAACCTAGATAAAACTAAACTTTTCTGTCTGTCCATAAATCCCACAGAAAGACCAAAACCAGCAATACGCGAGTCTGTCTCTCAGTTGGAGCTGCTGCTATCGATAGCTAACATAGCGACAGTTATTGCTAGCGGTTTGCTCGTTAGCCGGTCAATAACACAGAACAGGTTAAGTCGACAAACCTGCCTCATATTTATATTATTGCTGGTGGTTGAATCAGCTTTATTAGCTCTGATTGGTGACGTAGCGAAACACTGCTGAGCAATGACTCGGCTAGCTTCAGTTAGCTAGCCTAGCTGTTAGCATGGCGCTTGTTGCTGCTTGTCTCCTGTACTCGACTTTACAGTTCAGCAGCCTTCATCACAACCTCAAGACTGCATATAAAAGCACATATATAATATCTATATAGTCAATGATTTCAACCCAACATTTAACTTGATTTAATGCTAATGCTAATGCTAAATGCATTGACTGAAGGTTTTCTGCTGCCAAGCTAAAGCACTGACGCTACTGCAGCAGGCTAGCTTAGCTGTGCTCAGCGTTTTGGAGGTATTTCACCATAAATAATCTCAAACTTTGGGCATTTTTGGTGTTTTTTTCTTGCTGGTTTCTCATTTTCACCTTCCACATCTTTCTTTGTCCGTTTTGCAATTCAAACATACTGAAGCTGGATCCCGAGTAAATCTTTAAAACCACATCACAAACATATACACATTTTGATTAAAGGTTAAATAACTTCCTAAACCAGCAGTGGTTTTAATCAAACCAACAGATAATGTTTTGTGGGCTTCACATTAGAATAAACAAGCGCATTCATGTTTCATAGGACGATCGATTCATTGCCGGTTTTGTCTTTAATGGGATTTATTGATGGAAAGAAAACTATCCTTTAAGAAGAGACACTACAGGTGTGATATTTCTGAAGTACTAGATGTCACCATGAAACCTCCCCCAGATGACTGTTTACTACAAATAAGGCCTTATCTAATTAAATATGCATCCTTACTTTGCATTAATTTCCAGAACACAAATCCGACTTGTGTCTTTTGTCGACATATTAGAGTCAAAGACGTCCACGGGGCCGTGAATGATACGTGAACAAACTCCCGTTTAAATAGAAATAAGAATAAAACTGGAAAGTTTGAAGTTCAGATTTCTGATTTCTGTACTGATATGTGCTGTAAAACTCTACGTATGTTAACAGGAAAACACATCCTACAGGTAAAAACTTTTCAACTACCTGATATGAAAACACCTCAGTTCATTATTTACATTTTTCAGAAAGTTCTCATGAACTTAAAATGTGCAGATGAGGTGTTATCTCATTAAATATGCATTGATTTGCACTTGAAATGTGTATTTTGGATGTTTTTCTTGATGCAAGGGGGGAGAAATTTTACAGAAATGACCTGAGAAACCTGTGACAGAACCGTGCTTTTGTCTGCAGCGTCTCGCCTTAACTCACTTTAATTGACGGTTTACTAATAGTTAGTCCATTGTTAACTAGAAACAGAATAAGATTATTCTGCTGGCTGCTTTAAATGAGGCGTAACACGTCCTGTATTACAGGAAAGATGTGATTAGCGTCCATCTTCCAGCCAAAATGCGTCACACAAATATCACCAACTCATATCCGTGATTACTGCAAATAGAGGGGAACGGAGTTTCATTAGTGGGGCGTTAACGACACAACAGCAGCAGGTTTTGTTGCTGTGAATAATCCATCATGTACCTCGAGGATTCTTTGGTAGACAGAAGCTAAAGCGAGGACACTTCACAGCGACGTCTGATTGTTAATCGAACTTTTCAACACTGTGAGCAACAGAAACAAAATCCTTCTGACTGCTTATTGGTTGGAAAACTCAAAATATGGACCAGAAGAAAGACTTTAAATTGTCAGATCTCCCTTGAGGTTGGTTTGGGATTTAGGTGAAATCCTTAGTTGTTAAAAAATACTTCCGTTTTCTTGACTGTTTAACCGTCACTGATCCACCAGTATAATTAGTTACTGTCAGTGTAAAAACCTTTAAAAACTCATTAAGTAATAAACGGCGTGTAGATACGTCAGATCCTAAAAAGGCATCATTCAACAGAGGGACTGCTTCAAGTACCGCTTGTTAAACACACCAAGTGGCTGAATGCGTTTCCTCCCACAGAGTGAAGCTTCTCGTTTAAGAAACACGGTTCATCATTGGCTTCACCGGAGTCCGATAGAGGTTCATCCACCACATCGATAAAAAACAGGACCAACAAACTGAGCAGTCCGTCAGCTGTTGGTGGGTCGAGCCGTCTGATTGTGTGTCTACATGTCAGCCTTGACGAACGACGCGAACATCCCGTCCTCCTGCTCCAACAGAGTCTCGGGTTTGTCGTACTCCAGGATGTTGCCGCGCTTCATCACGATGACCAGGTCGGCTGTTAGGATGGTGTGGACGCGGTGCTGGAGACACACAGGAAACACAAAAAACACAGTCAGGACCTGACAAAGCACACATTTTTCTTTAATTCTTTACTGACACCAGTGTTTATAATAAGCTCCTAGCATGGCTGATTGATTAGTTTGTGGTTGTCTGGTTTGTTTGTACTCTTAAAGTGCAGTTTTCTTTAAAACAGTAAGAATCTTGTTACCACTTGCTCTTGGTTCAAACTTTGGCTGTTAACTTATAGAAGTACATGTTATTAGACTGTGAGTAATTACGAGATTTGATCTAAAAGCTCCAGGACCGCGCCAGTAAAAAGTTTGGTTGCCATCTTGGCCACATTTGGAATTCTTCTCGAAAGTCCAATTCTGACCACTTGCACTTTAGCATTTGCTATTTCACTAAGTAAGGTAAAGCCAACTTTATTTGTGTAGCGCAGTTAACAACATCTTCCATCTCACAGCGCTTAACGTGGTAAGGTATAGAAACAGAGAACCCAACAATCCAAAGTTGCCTTTGGACTCCCATGAACGAAACATCCAGGAGGATCGTCACTGGTGGGTCTACAGCTACGATGCGCAATCCCCAAGATAAAAGTGGCTCGTCCAGTTAGAAGGACGACCAGGAACTTGCTAGTTGGTTTGTTTGAAATTCTCAGGGTAGTGCATTATGAATTCATCCCCCAGGACTGGAATGCCAACACTGTACTCTACTGTTACATCCTGAAGCATCTGAAGAAGAACAACCTGTAATTGTGGCGTGATGGCAATGGCCACCAAGGTTTTGGGTCACACCATACCAGACTTAACTTCCTGACTCTTTCTTATTCCCCAAAATGAAATACAAGCTGAAGGGTCACTGTTTTGACATAGTATGAAAGATCTCCCTAGGTAGTGCCTCAGTTGCCTACCAAACAAGACTTCTAGAGAGCGTTCCTTATCGTGGCAGGAGCTCTGGGAGCAGGGCATCGCTGCCCAACGCAAATTTAAATCAGTCTCGGAGCTCACCTCACGTTGAAGCTAACTCCTCAACATGATGGATAAAATCTGAGCCATTTGAGTTCCAATGCCGTCTCGTCAATGTCCAAAGGGACAATCCGAGCAGGTTTAATGGATTTGTATCAAGTAAAGTTGGTGTGTTTGTTTTGAACTGGTACCAGTACCCAGAATCCGGTGCACACCAGTGGCGCTACATTGTCTTTATATTGGATTGTGTCGTGTCAACATCAAGGGTGAACTTTTATTTATATTTTAGGTATTTCAGTGTGTCAGAGACATATTCAACAAGCATTCCTTATCACTTGTTCCAATGTGACTGTAAGTGGATATAAAGGACATGCATATTTGCTGCCATACTTGAGGCTATCACTGATGCTTTAGCTAAGAGTCCAACGTTAAGGACATTCTTGGGTGAAACTGAAGATCTAAATCTCCCAACATAACTGGGTCCACCTTGGAAACCCCTTCAAAAAAGCTAATGTTGAAGGAAATGTCAAATGTACTGCGTACCTAAACCCAAACAAGCAGCTTGATGGTGCTTCTATGGAGAACTTTACAAGTTTTATTTAAAACCTGAGCTCCCTATGTAGTGTTTAAATTTAAAGAGCCCATAATATGCACATTTACAGGACTGTCATTGTTTTTTGAGGTCTGTTAGAAGATGTTTACGTTCTTTAAATGTTAAGAAACACGTTATTTTTCTTATGCTGTACATCGGTTACAAACGTGTTCCATGGTGAAGAAAACACTGGACTTCAAATGAGGCAGATAAGAAGCAGTTTTTCTCCGTTTGGCGCTGACTTTAGATTCACAAAAAAGCTAAGGGAAAAGGAAAACCCCAAAAGCATCCTATGGGCTCTTTAAATGGCAGTATACTGCAGGCAGTAGCCAGAAGTATCATGAAGTATCAGTGAGAAAGCATGCAGTAGTTGTTTTCATCTTGTACCAACCAGGCTGTCAGTGGCAGTAAGGCTTCAGCAGACCCAGACTCAGACTCCAGCTCTGACTCGACCAGGAAAAGCAGGAACAAACAGAAAGAGATGGAAAAACGGCAGAAAGGCGGGAAAACGGTCAGGCAGAGCCAAAGCGGTCTGCGCTGATCCGGGTCTACTTGTGAGTCCTCACTAGCACACTGAAGAGGCTGTCCTCCTGTGCTAGCAGGTTCGGACCCGAGTCACTTTCCACCAAGATCCCTGAGGAGAAGACCAACACCTGCTCGGCGTCCAAGATAGAGGACACACGATGCTGGTGGCAGGATGAAGGGAGGGATGAACAGAGAAGAGAGGAAATATGGGAGACAGGAGTGAGGACACAGAAAAGAAAAGAGGTGGGAAGAAAGGGAGGCAATAGGGGAGTAGAAATGAAAACAAAAAGGTGGAAATAAAAGAAAGAGGAAGCACAGAAAATAGAAAAAAAAAGGGGAGAAAAGAGCAAAAAACAGGAAAATTTGGCATCACAAAGAGGCAAAAGTCAGAAAACAGAAAGCAGATAAGCGAAAGGACATTTAATCTGAAGGAAAATAAGAGTCATTCCATAAGAAGATCAGTCAGTTCCTCTCATCTGACCTCCTGGACGGCATCTTATAAAACACAACACTGGTGTTTTGTATAGTTTAGATAAATTACATCCATCAAAGCAGTTTCAGAACTTCTTTTGTTGGTGTTCAGTTCTTGTTCTGTCGGAGATGTTGGGTAATCTTGGTGTCCAACATTTGTCTTTTCGGTGCGACTGGTTTCAAGTCTCAGAGTATGCCTATATTTTTAAAAATACTTTGACAGAGAAGAAATCATGTCTAGAAGATGATCCAGATAACAAATGTAGGTAAAACGGTCCTTTCATGAGCCTGGAAAGTTTACCCAGAATGCACTTTTTAAAGTTTTCTCTGGTGAATTATCAGAAACCAGAAACACATCCAGGGTACCAATGACTGTTTCTATCACTCTATGTCATAGACGTTAAAACTACGATACATCCCATAATAGTGATGCTCAAAGTCAAAGGTTATAACGAAAACCGTAATGAGCAAAACAGAGATTTAGTCTTTAGCTTGTGACCCCTGTCGTGGATGTAAAACTGATTTAATTCGTTTTTAACAGAACTCAAATGAAAGTTTCATGAGTCTATCTGCTGAACTGAGGAAGTTATGAGGCTCAGAAAAATTAAAAAGAGTGACATTTCAAACCATTTCTACGTCATTCAAGGGCCTCTAATGTTGAAAATATTCATAGTGTGAAGGTGAAACTTTGCAGGGCTTCACTAAATACAGTGAAGTTACTGTAGATAAAAAGTCAGATGATCTGAGGAGGTCGTGTGATTTAATACAGAATGACCCTTAACTAGGATACCGACTGTGTTACGTACTGTGGCAGAGCAGTTAGTAAGGACGGAAACGATGCAGGAAAAGGATGCACGAGGCATCCTGCAAGAGGAAAATATTCCATGATAGATGCACATAAAGCTCAAAGCCAAGGAGCCACATATCTGCATCTATCAGGACTGAACAAACCTTTTCTCGCTTCAGGACTCGACTTTGTTCATCTCCTTGGCGTCATTTGAGACAAAAATAAAATCAACATGAGGACGGACTCGAGGACTTACTGCGATTGTAACGACTGTTCTGTCTGCAAACGCCGTCATCACGACTTTCTGTAAGATATTCTCCTGCAAGGACACAGAAATAAGAGGTGATATTAGAAAGGAAGCAGAAATTCTGTCATCTAGGCTGCTTTCTAATCGTCTATCTAACCTAATTTTTCATTAATTAAAACTAATTCAGAGTACTCTTATTGCTCTGGAGCTGCCTTAGCAAACAACCAATCGCTGTCAGTTTATGCTAACATGTACACACCAACACACAACCGCTAGCAGCTTTAACCCATGTAGCTCAACTATCAGAGACACCGAGGACAATGAAAACTGAAGCAGCTACAGGTAACATGCTCATAACACTAATAAATCATCTTAGTTTGACATCTGAACCCTTAAATTCAGTTTCAAAATGAGAAATCTCTAAAAAATAAACGAGAAAACTGGATCTATTAAGGGAGAAACTTCTGTAAACCACACTGATAACTGTACATGGTGCGATCAAAAAGTTCCAGTATTGATGGTGGTGCACGTCCATGGAGTGTGTCACAGTTAGGAGACCACATGACCTCAAGTTATTAACATGAGGACCTGTGTTACTCATGTTTTTGTGACTACTGGTAGGTATACGTTTGCAGTTACCTGAAACTCAAACTAACTCATTGGGTAAACATCATATTTTGTGTGCAGCTGGATGATCCAACCCTCATGATTACGAGAAGCGGGTCTGCAGCTACCACTAAGAGAAGCAACAGTTTCAACAATTTCCAAAACCAGAAAAGGTGCGTAAGGTCAGGATCACCAGGTTTAGGTTTGTTGCTTTATTAAAAATTCACATGTTGGTCCCCCAGACTCGGGCTTGCAACCTGTGACTTCTTCCTCTTACCAAAAACAAAAATCAAGTCAGAAGATTCAACGCTCATCGCAGATGGTGCTTGATTTGTTTACACAACAGGACTTGTAGGGAGCGTTGCAGGAGCACTGGGAGCAGAGCATGGCTGCACCAGGAAGCTAGTTCAACAGGGATGTCGGCTACATGTTGGTCGAATCAGATGTTTTTTTGTTTTTAGTCTCTGAAATTTTTGAGCGCACCTCCTACAGTATCTGCTAACACACACACAAACACACACCGTGGCCATGTCTATGGACGCCGTGGCTTCGTCCATGATGAGGATGCTGCTCTTCCTGACGAAAGCTCTGGCCAAACAGAAGAGCTGCCTCTGACCGACGCTGAAGTTCTCCCCGCCTTCTGTAACCACCGCATCTAAACAGACGTGAAATTAAATTACCATTTGATCCTTCGAGCTAAACGATGACTGACTTCTGGTGCGATAAAACAGATCTTTTCATTTATTGGGGTACCTAGTCCTCCAGGCAGCGCTTTCACCATGTTCTTCAACTGAGCGATCTCTAGCGCCTCCCAGAGTCGATCGTCGGTGCACGTCCTCTCCGGGTCCAGATTAAATCTAGAACACATCATATACATGTGATTCAGAGCATCAAGTTTAATAAACAAACAGTTTGTTTACTTGTTTGTTGATTTGGCACCAAGCAGGAGACAGAACTGCATGTTAAGGTGGGAATTATAGGAAACACAAATAATTTTACTTCACAAATTTAATCCATGATGATCAGTTAAAGCAACAAGAAAAGAAAAAATTGTCTATGGCTACATGAAGTTTGTTATTTGGAAACACGATTTAACAGCTTTACCTCTTGGCTGCAGGTTTGGAAGCAGCAGAACAGACAAGTTCTGGTTTATTTTAGAGTTTTGAGACACTGAGTTCTTGATATTTAAGAAATAAAATGCTAAATAAGACAGGTTACCTACTTTATTAATAGGGAAAGCAATTTGCAAAACAGAGTAAATTAAAAAATAAGAAGGAACCTGCTGAGTTTTCTGCTTTTCTTTCTCTACTATAACAATTAGTCATCAATAAACGTCTGTGATTTGGAGAATTAATTGCATAAATAAGTGTTTTTACTGTGTGCATGTGTGTGGCAGAGTCCCTGCGAATCAGAACGTGTCAGAACATCACAGCAACACCTCAGAGAACAGTGTGAAGCAGTTACTGTCGACCATTCACCCCGGATTTTACGTTCACGTAAACAAGCCTCGGCGCTCAGTCAGCTTCGCTCTGCTCTCACACACACTCGCAATTATCCAGAGCGGCATGTCTGTCCAAACAAACAGCACATGCTCTTTGTCTTTTATAACAAACACAGACTCACTGCATCGTCCAGTAACACAAACACACACACACACACACACACACACACACACACACACACGGAGGCTGTGAGTGTGTGCGACCGAGCAAGATAGACGAAGGCGATGGAAAGCGACGCAGGATCCCTTCATCTCTCCGGCGACCTCCTCAGTATGTGACGTCTGTGACAAAAGTCAGATCATGTCCCAGCCAGAGTTCCCACTGAGCGTTCAACCGCTCACCCCACAGCTGGGACCGTGTGTCGTCATGTGGCAAACATCTCTCAGGTCAAAACACCAATCCAGCAAAGAGGATTTTTCTACAGCATATTTACACAGTTGTGCTTTAGGGTTCGTCTCCAATCAGACGCGACTGTTTCCATCGTCGGTTTACGGCTCCAGCATGAGCAAAATACGACCGAATGCTAAATTTATTTTAAGTCTTCCAGGGTAATGGTTCTCTGTGTGGTGAGTCAGCACAGGGTTTTCCAGTAAATCAAACAGTGACACCCAGATATGGTGGCTCTCAACAGCAAAAGACGTCACCTCCTCTTCAGCTTTTGTGATTCATGTCAGTGTTTCTAAACCTCTACAGAAATCATACCGTTAAAAGTTGCAGAAAACATGATGATTAGTAGCAGTAGAGACACCCCCAACAAGTGGTTTCGCTTCGATCTGATCTGGATCAGTCAGTGTTTAATATCTGCCAATACAGAGTCCCAATTTGATATCACTTTTCAAGTATGTTAAAGTTCTTAAAACCAATCCAGTGCATAAGCTTGTGTTTCTGCATCCATGCTGTTCCTTAATGTTGCGTAGATGGTTAGGAACCTTGTTGTAAAGCTCCAGTAGGTCGCTGTCCGAAATGTGGTGCCAGAGTGTAGAATGTGCTGAGGCGCCACAAGGTGAAAACCTGGTTTCTCTACATGCATGTCAGAAGACGTGTTGTAGCTCGGCTGTAGTACCTGGTTGTTCCACCAGGTGGAGCCTCTTACTGACTGATACTGTGGAGACCAGAGGAGGCGGTCAATCGCACTTCAGGGAGTTCAAGCAGAGAGCATTGTGGGGGTTTAGCTATCAGCGGGCACCAAGTCTACTGGGACGCTTAATGACCTCCAACCAGAGCTATTTAAGACGAGCTGGGAGTTGACTGGGTCAGCGTTTTTATATCCCAGTGGAATATGAGCCAGTTTTGCGACCCATAACTGGTCCGTTTATTTAAACAACAATGTTAGCGCAGGTCAAAAGTGCCCTGTGCCAAAATTGAATTATCAGTTAAACAAATATAGATAATGGTGCATTTACTATGAAAATTATTCAAAAATCACATCCTGATCTCCCTTCATCACACCTGTGTTACAGCAGATGTACACAAAGGATCAGGCTTAGTGGAGAAATGCTGTCATTGGATTGGGGCATCCCTAAATAGTTGGGTTACAATTACAAAATACACCTTTAAACAGGCTAAAGAACGACATACTGCCAAGCCAGGGTTGCCAACTCCTTTTAGTTTCTGTCCGCCCAAACAAAACCAACACTGGTCCATAGACATCACAGAGAGGATAAGCTCAAGTGTCTTTATTTAGTTTTGTTTATATAAACTGAAAGTCCATGAAAATGAAACCCTGCTGTGACGTAAACCGGGTCTGCAACGGCTCGGATTAAAGAGACTCAACAACAGTGAAAGTAATCCAGGTTTTGATAAAGACGTTAACAGGAGCTGGAGTTTACTTCGTTGCTTCCGGCTGATTGTAGGAGTTTTTCCTCTGAGTTTTTTGTTTTTTTTAAAATACAAGCAGCTGTCACAGTTCATAGCCGCGAGTTAAATAATTTTGTACACAGCGGACGTCCTCGGATTGACCCCTGAGCTTTACAACAGCTGGCAGGATATTTTTATATCACTGTTAGTACAACTTTGATGTGTTTATTACAGCCAGAAACATGTTTCCGTCATGTCAGCTGTTTTACGGCGGAGATTTTTCTGTTCCACAGTTTTGCAGCATTACATGTGCAGCGGTAAAGTAATTTCCTATATAAAACGTGATCTCTCTGAATCATCAAATTAACTGCCAAAATCAACCATCATTTGTTGTAGCTGCATAAACTTTGATTACACATGAATGTTTAATGTTTTGGAAATAATAAACTAATAAAAAACATGTTGTCTGCTACACAATCAACAGATTTTTGTTTTTTATTTGAGGTATTACAGCATTATTGGAATAAAAGTCTTAAACAAGTTGATTTTGTGGGAAAGAATTGCAATGAATAGCTATTAAATGCTAAAATGGCAGCTCAGACATTACTTCATGTTTGTTTTTTTTAGCTGTAGATGAATGATTCTGAACTACAGACCGTCTACGTAGAACTCTGAGAGCATCAGCTTATAATTCTTTAGCCAGTGATCGTAGCACAACAACAGTAACATAAACGGGAAGATGTGAGGGTGACAGAGATGAAAACACAAATCCCAAACGTTACATAATGAGGTTATTAAAGGATAAACAGAAGCTTTGTGTGAGTGTGTTGGTGCACCTTATTGATCCGCTGAATAAGACGGGATCCTGGAGGATGATGGAGAGTCGCGACCTGAGAGTTTGCAGAGGAAGCTTGCAGATGTCAATCCCGTCGATGATGATCTTCCCTGTAAAGAAACAAACATGTTTTATTATGGTGGAATCGTAGGCGTCTTTGTCACAAAAAACAATCATGCATTTTGGTTCCTTCACGGATTTATTGTAGGTCTTCTGGAAACACGACAAAATCTGTTGGGTCAAAAATATACAAACAGCAACGCTAGTATTCGCATAAATGTCCTTTTGGTCATTTTCACCTCAGCGAGTTGCTTTTGGTTTCTTTCTACAAGCTCCTGGTTGTATCTTTGAGCACTTAAAGCAAATTTGTTGTCCACAGGTTGGTGATGAGGTTCAAGTCGGGACTTTGGGGCCAGACTAACTGATTCAACCATTTCTTCACAACTTTTGATGTATGTTTGACATCATTGTCTTATTGGAACACTAAACTGCATCCAAGATCCAACCTCCTGTCTGAGGATTTTAGGTTTCTCTGAAGAATGTGGAGGTAATCCTCCCGCTTCCAATTACATCATGTAAAGCGCCATTGCCAGGATACTGCCACCGCCATGCTTGGCGGTAAGGTTTGGTGTTCTTGGAGTTGAAGGCCACATCCGTTCTTCACCCGTTCTTCTCTCAACATATTTCTGGTCATTGTGGCCAAATAGCTCAATTTTTGTTTCATCCAACCACAGAATGTCCATCCATCCATTATCTATACACATCACTAGGGTTATGGGGGGCTGGAGTCTATCCCAGCTGACTCAGGGTGAAGGCAGGTTCACCTGGACAGGTCACACAGGGCTACACTTAGAGACAGACAACCAAGCACACTCACATTCACACCTACGGACAATTTAGAATCACCAATTAACCTCAACATGTTTCTGGACTGTGGGAGGAAGCCGGAGAACCCGGAGAGAACCCACGCTGCACGGGGAGAACATGGAGACTCCACGCAGAAAGATCCCGGGTGTCCTCACCGGGACGCGAGCGATGGCAACGATGCTAACCACCGAGCCACCTTGCCCTCCACAGAATGTACGGATGTAAAGTTTTGTTCAGGACTAAAAGCGGAGCGCTGTTCAACAACCACAGCAGCCAGAATACAAGTGGAGCCTCCAGTCGACACATAAAAAGAAGATTTATTACAGTTGTATTCTTAACTTCACACTCATAAAGGTGTATTTAGACGTAACAATAACGAGCATCATTCAAGTGATACTGATCTGTGTAAAATTAAAAAACAAATAATACACCTTGCACAAATAGCCTCATAGATTAATTACTGGCTGACAACTTTTTTCATCTGTCTTCTAACCTGGAACACATTTTAAAACTGTTCTGGAGCTCGTGACCAGTTGCAGTGATTAAATGGGAGCTATTATGAGGTTGGCAACTGGTTTCCATCCTCTGAAGGTCTGGTCTGAACCACAGAACCACATTAAAAGCAAGGATTTTTCAGACGAGTTCATTAAATTGAGCGTTCAGGCAGATTTTAGAGGCAGCAAAGGTAATTTTAAAGTCAATGAAATGACACAATTAGATGCAAATTTCATTCATAACGCCTGAGGAAGCACCCTGGGCCCATTTTTGTGAAGTTAACATGTACACGACTACTTTTCATTATCTGTAATTTAACAAAACAGAAACGATTTGTGTATCTGTATAAGTCTGTTGAAAACATTGGGATATTTTCAGGGTAATAAAATCGATGATGTTGTCTACAGTTCAGTCGGGACGCCGCTCTGGTTTCATTTCACTGCTTTATAAGGAGACGCTGCTGACACAATGGTTTTAATTTACTGCTAAATGAAGCGTCCGACCAGCTGTGTATGGAAAAAGTGACTGTGCGATCTCATCTTGGTCCGAGCGCTCCGCCTGGAAGCGGCGCGTCGCAGCGCGAAGCGAAAACACAATGACGCGATTACGACTCGCTTTCAAAATGCAATAAATTAAACAGGGTCAACTTAAAGACTTTACGGCCGCCGTCTGGAAGAAATACGACCCGGCGGCTGGAAACGGCTGCAAGAAAATGGGTCAGGTCTTCACTTATGCCCTTGTTTTAATCCTCCGATACGAGAGTCTACTTCAGGTCCTTTAAAAGCGAAACACGACGAGCGAAGAACAAAAAAGACCCACGGATTCTCACTTAGAGGGACCCGCAGGAGTGTTTAAAAGGAGCTGTAATGAAAGACGGGACAGCTGAATAAATATTTTGTCCAACATAAACACACGGTGCTATAACACTGTGGGGACGGTAGACGTTTAGAGAAGACGTAGAAGCTCTTTTGAGGGAAAGCCAGATGATTAATTGACCCTAAGAGGTGCTTTGGTTTGAACAAAAACCCACGAAATCACCTCAAACGCTGTTAATATTACGAGCTCTGCTGGATTATACACAAGCTATTTATACCTGAAGACACTGGAACTGTCACCGTGTATTGTTCAGTGAACACCTTTTAAGAAAGTTTGAGTAGCAAATCCAACTTCAACCTCTCAACTCCAAACAGTTTCTAGGTGTTTTTTGCTCTTGTTTTTTGGGCTCATTTTCCACTGCAACACAAAAGTCCTGGAAACGTCTACGGAAACAGAACAACCATGACTAGAAGTTGAGAGAATACTACAAATGCTTCACTGCTTCACTACGTTCTGCAACCTGCTCTGCTCATCACATCCATAAAGACGTTTCACCATGCTGGATGCATCCTCCAACAACGTGCTCCTCTCTACACCATCAATTTTATTCGGTTTACCTTCGTTTTCTCTAATTTCTTTTCATACTTCGTCTTCTCTCTGCTCGGTGCAAACACAGCCTGCAGTTCAGCCGAGATGTCCGTGAATTTTCATCTTGGTTTGACTTCTTAATTGCGTCGAGGAGTGTAAAGTTTTGGGGTTTTGACAGAATCTAAATGGTTTCTTTTTGGCGAATATAAAAATGAGGAACTTAGTTTATTTTCCTTTCAGAAGCCAATGAAAATCTAACAACTCTGGTTTCACAGTTTCGTACTATGATAGATGGTTTGGGCTGTTCTATCAAAGCTAACATGCCTTTGAAATCTGACGGCAGGTTTTGGGGTTTTTTGGTTTGTTTCAGTGCAAAAACAAAGCAAACGATCTCCATCTTTGGGATGCTCTCAGCAGTGGTCTGGTTTTGGTCTTTTAATAGGCTTTGCTGACAATAAAACATATATTTTATTAAGATTTGAGAGCAGTTGGACCAAAGATTGATGATCCCTCCTTAAATTGTCTCATCTGTGTTGTTTATGGACTCCTGATGACAACATTTTTCAACATTTTACAGTTTTATAAAAGCCAAATTTACACAAAAGACTGAAAAAACTAAGAAAATTGTTTTTTTTCTGTCTTGTGATTCCTTGGATTTATCTAACAGCCCCTCGGGGTGACCTCAAGTGAGGAACTACTGCGGTAGATTTTACTGGATTTTATTGCTGTGATGTTTTGCTTCATCTACTGTTTTTGGCCGTGGGTTTGCAGCTGCAAGATGTTTTATTCCGTCTTCATTCTGCCTCTAATAAAAACGTCAAAACTATTTGCAGCTTTTGGAGCGGCTCGGTGAGCGTGCAGCATTTAAAAGACTGAAGCCTTCAGGAGAAGACACCATCCTAACAAAAGCATTTTGTTGTCTAAAGGAAGCTGAGGCAAGCTGTACCAACTTACAGGCTCCAGCGTAAATCACAGCTGAGGAATAAACACTTCAGCTCAATGTAAAGGCGACAAACTAAACGTGTTCTGCTGAATGGGACACGCTGGTGATTTGCTGCAGGAAGGGATTGGTTTTACACAGTTTGGTCTGCGAGCTGAAAAGGTTTATGGTCAGCACTTCAGACTTTAGGGGGAAACTGTAAACTGAGCTGGTGGTTGTGTTGGGAGTTAAAACGGCTCCATGCAGCGCGAATAAACAACACAAGCATTGTTAGACACATCGGGATACCCGAGTGTAATTAGTATAAATAAGCCTGTCTCATCTGTTCAGCGCTGTTGGGGCTGGAGTTTCTAAGAACAGAACCCAACCATGGCGGATGATCTATCTATCTATTAATTTCAATCTTCTACCAATCTGAAGAAGACTCATTACGCTCCTGTGCATCACCAATATTTACCTTCATTAATACAGATTTAATGCGAGAAACCTGCAAGCACGTATCTGCAGTAACTAACGGTGCAATCTCTCTTTGCTGAGAAGATTTAATATGCTTTAGTTTCATTGTTTGCACAGTTCAAGAGTAAAGGTTACCGACATAAACCAACAGAGAATACTGTGATTAAATAAATATAAAGCCTCATGTTTAGAGTCAGCCAACACAGACGTGGAGTACTACTCTTCTGCTGGGTAAGACTCTGCTTCCTGCAGGTCTATTGGGGTAATACAGACCAAGGTCCCGCAGAGTGAATAAATCTGGTTTTATTTAGCCAATCAAGCTGGATTTGTTTAATGGTTTAAACCTGAATTTGCTCTTTAGATGAATGGAAATCAAAAAGAAACCTGACAAAGCCAAGACAGGGGGGTAAAATTCCACAATTTCTTAAGTTGTAAACTAAAAAATAATAAAACCTTGACTATCAATTGCAGATTAAAGTGGGACATTTACAGGAAATAACTTAAAGTTGCAGGACAAAACAAAGACGTTTTCTGAGATTAAAATAAAAAATTTACAACGCCATCAGTAAACATGGATTCAAAAGACAATATATTTTTTTGTCTCTAAATGACAAAAATAAGATGTTTAGGGCAGCTATGAATCGGTTTAAATGAATATAAAATCAACATCCAATACTGGAATATTCCAAGACGTTTCCAAGTCAAAAACGTGGGTAAAACTCCAAAGTTTCCAGGACCTAAGTTGTAAATGTATGGAATTAAAACCTTGAATATTTCCTCAGATTAAAGTGGGACCTTTACGAAAAAAAAAGCAAATTTCTCAGAGATTCTGAACTCATAAATGTCCGACTAAAACTTCAAAAATTCCCAAAGACTAGAGTCACACATTTTAAGAGAAAAAACAACTCCAGAAACAGGGAGTGCCATATTCACATTCACTGTATTTATCAGCTGTGTGCAGAGAAGAAGGTGTTTGGAGCAGCTTTAAATGAGTTTAAATTAATACGACATCAACAGCTTATACATGAGGATCCTAAGAGATTCTAAAGACTTAAATGTGTGAGAAAAAAACACACAAATTCTCTGAGACTAAAGCCACAAAAACCTAAAAACCAGCAGAAGGGATGTGTTGCGTTTAAGTGTAAACACGTTAGCATGTGTAGTTAAATCTCCAGCTCAGTGTTCCTCCTTAACACTGCTCTTCAAGTTTCTTTTTAACTTCTGATCTACTCAACCCGTCCTGTCCAGCAGCAATATATTTTAAAGAGCATCGTTTTAATCTGTTAAGTGGATCGGAGGGAGCTGAAAGCCAAAACACAGGATCACTAGAGCTGTGTTGTTTTTGGGCGAAGCAGAACTCGGGGTTAAGAGTCACTCGAGACAACAACCGCGAGGGGAATCCTTCCGCTGAAGTCTGCAAACGGACAAGAGGTTTTCTCAAGAGTCGTCGCCTTTAATGAGACGTAAACACACCGAGAGAGACGAAGGAACAGAAGAGATGAGAGACGTGGAGAGAACAGAGTGCTCCTGGTGTGTTAACGGCGTGACAGGACACAGACCCACCTTCGAAAATGTCCACCATGTTGAAAAAGGCCAACGACAGCGACGACTTGCCGCTGCCCGTCCGGCCGCAGATTCCCACCTAACGGAGGACGAAGAGACAAAGTCAATAAAGATTCCTTCACTTGGCGCGGCGGTGAGGAATCAGACACCTGTGTGGTAACAGAGCAGCAGGTTCATGCCGTGTGTGGTCAGTAGGTGTCAGCTGGCCGCCGCTTCAGAGGGAAGGTCACACTTTTGAACGAAATTCACAGTTTTTTTATGAGTCTTTGACATTCCAGACCTTACCTGTTAATTTAAACTGTATTAACGGGAAACCTGTCTCCACTGGGTTTTATGATCTGGTAGCTTGCTGCATGTCTGAAATGGGCGTTTGCATGCAGCCTCTGCACATGCTGCTGCCTTGTAAAGTCTCCAAATCATTAGCAATCAGTAGCCTAGATTTCAACACCACGTCACTTAACTTGCACTGTTTTGCAATAAATAAGTTGTAATAGTGGATCCTGTGGAACGTGTAACATAAGTTAGATGTTAGTTAGTTAGTTGGCTGTGCACAGAGAAGCCTCTAGTCTCCATAGTTAATTGTTAACAGCAATATCAGGCTAAAAACCTGAACCGGAAACCTGTCTCGACTGGGTTTTATAAAACCTTAGTTTGCTGCATGTCTGGCCTTTGTGCACACTGCTGCCTTGTAAAGTCCCCAAACCAGCTTTTCTTTGAAGCAGCACTCAATTTATTTCCTTTTACACTGGAATACGATGTAGGTTGACTTACGTTTTGCACTCTGCTTTCACTGTGTCGCGCTACATTCTTGATGACAAATCTTTGCATTAAAGTGAGACGTAAAATGATCCTTACCGTGTTCATTATGTGAAGAGTTCACTAAAATGTGTTCCTGACAATATTTGAGGAGAGAAATAAGCTTTAGCTAAATGCGTCTTAGATCGATAAAGGTTTGTTTTAGTTGTATCCAGTGGTGGCCAGAGGCTCCTGATTTGCATAAAGTAGCCGACACCTCAACTTTATGCTATGACAAGCATGCAATTCTCTTGAAACACAATAAAAGGAAGCGCTGAAATGATGAATCCTGTGAACATTAAGCACAAAATAGATGTTAGCTAGGCGGCTGTGCACAGAGAAGCCTCTAGTCTCCATCAGTTCCTGCAGTGCAGCAACCAAACATCACTCTGAAAACTGTGAAACAAGGAGTTCTAATGTCAGATTTACCCAACAGAAGTTAGAACCAAGTGATTGATCGTGTTCATTTAATTGTGTGAAGCCAATATCGTGATTGTGCTGAACAGTTGATTACTTGTGCAGCCCTAAGATGTATTACAATCACTTACACTTAGGTTGTGTAACTTGGCAGCACCTTAACTTCTAAAACAAGAGATTATTGTTGAAACTTGATAAATTAGACGTTAAGATCAGGAAACCCAGTAACCCAGTGGTTCTGACACACAGCACATGGCCCTGAATGGTTTGAATCCTGGCCAGTTAAACCATTTCCTGGATGTCATTCTTCTACTTTCTCATCCTCCTCTTTCATTCTCACTCTCAAAATAGACATAACGATGATAGGAAATCTCTTAATTGTGTCCTCGGAGATTGAATTCAGTGAGTGATGATCGCACAAAGTCAAGGAACATGGTGGTGGGTTTTAGTGGTAACATGGAAACCACATCTACAATCTTAGACAGTAAGTGGAGGTGATGGAAGTCTGGCAACAGATTGAAATAGAAGAATAAGTTTAATTTTGTCTATGAGGAGGTAAAGAGCAGCTGTCCTTTGGTTATAAAGCAAGATGTTGGACAGTTTGTGACACAAATAAGCCAGAAAAACACTCTAAAGCTCATGGAGGAGGCAGTGCGGCAGGGAAATGGTTTTCAAAGTTTTAAAAAAAGGAAAATTATAGAGGCAAATGAGGGGAAAGAGTCCAAGATTAAAGTTGCATATACACACAAAAAAACAATCTTGAATCCTTAATCTTAAATCACGAAAATTCTAAAATAAAGTTAAGTAAATTTGTGGTATTGTCTGTATTTCCTACAAAACCTACTGGTGAAGGTGACAGTTTCAGGACTGAAGGTAGCTGCTTTAAATCAGTTTATATGAGTATAATTAGAATAAATAGATTGGAATTAGAATATGAGTATTATCATTATTGTAAACATTTGAAACATACTTTCCATGGAATGACAAGGGAATGGTGAAACTGAATGTGTGGTTCACCTTTAGAGTCTTAATTCTTTGTGCTTTTTTTTTCTTTTACTTGGTATTTATAAACTGTTTTTTCTGCTCATTTGCACATATGAGGCCTGCACTTTTAATTTTGTGAATATATGTTGATCAAATGTGGTCTAACTCCTCCTGCTGGGTCTCTAGAACACATTTCCTTTCTACTTACAGTCGCACATCTCTCCACTATTCCATTGCAGAGGCCCCCTGTTTTTTAACAACACCGTGTGAATTACCTGCTACTGTACAGCTGCTTTCTTAAAAGGAATACAAAAGCAACCTTCGCTGTTATATAACCGTGACTTCAGAGGGAACTTTTGCAGGGACATGCTGTAGCTGCTGCAACCTTTTAATTAGCTGCCAAACAAGCGTCTTTTGCTTTACGGTGGCTGTGACTCTAATATTGCACGATGTAGTAGAAGTGTTATCGTTATCCTGCCACCCTGGCCGGCTCCCTTCGCGGCGGCACGTTAATTACCTTCTGGCCCGGCTCGACGTAGGCGTTGACGTGTTTGAGCACCGGCTTGAGCATCGGGTCGTAGCGAACGCACAGGTCCTGGATCTTTATCTCGCCGTTGTGAGGCCAGTTCTCGGGCACCTGAGAGGAATCTGCGGGGACAGAAACACACCGGAGGGTTTGTTCGTTTCTGAGTTTTTATGATTCAGACTGAAACACACCAGAGCAGAAGAGAAACACAGCAGCGAGGAACAGACCGCCGCCGGTGTCCACGTTACTGTCCTCGGTGGTGTAAACAAGAGCTTATGGAACATATGGACCAAGTCATAACACTGCAGACATACAGGAGGAGAGTTTACCGATTAAAACGCTGCTCAGATTCCTCACTGACATCACAGCCACACACACAGTTTTAATACTTAGGCTTAGGGAGCACATTTATACTGATAAAAAAATATAATTACAGGATTTTCTTAACACATCAGGAGATAATATCCATTTTTCTTTTACTTTTATGAGCTTGTCGTGATTATTTCCTGTTTTTTTTGTCTGGATTTCGGTCGATCAGTTACTTAAAACTCAGATCAGACGTCAGTGGATGTTGCTGCACCTCTCAGCTTTATTATAAGGGATTCAGACGACCTGTTAATTATAGTTTACTCAGAATTAAAGAGCTGCTGCACGTCTCTGATGTCTGATCCTACAGAAGCTCCTTGAACAGATGGGTAGAAGTAAAATAAACAAAAACAAATTTACATATATGTCACCTGGAGATGAAGCGCATTTGTTGTTTCCAGGTTTGTCTGCACCATGTAATATTCCTGGATCTTTATTTTAATGTATTAATTGAAAACTGCAGTGTGAGCTAGTTTAGGCTGATAAAATGTTGTTTCTGTCCTTTTTTATCCATGTTGGAACAACAACAACCACACGTAGCACAAACTCTCCTTGTTGTTCGTGTTTTCATTATTTTGTCAGTGTTTCAGCTTCATTTCAGCTTTGATTTCTGATACTCAGCGATCAGATTCAGCTTTGAAATCACCTAAAGTTCCTTAAATACTTTGCTTTAATCTATATTTTAAGATGTGCCAGCACTCAAAAGACCCTTTTAGACAAGCACTTCAAGTCTGAATGAGCTCCTTGTGTACTTCTCCTCCCAGTAACACTTTATTTAACGTCTAAACTGCATGCTGTTGCACTTACAAACAGCAACGGACTTGGAGTTATGTAAAGAGATGGGCAAGAACTTTATCCACATTTCCTCTATAATTTTGCATCTACTACAAGCTGTAAATGTCCATAAAAATAAAACTTTACTGCGATGAACACAAAGTCTATAACAGGTCAGATTAATGACACTCAGTGTTAACAGAAGCTGCATATTAGTTGGTTGCTTCCAGCTGTTTAGGACTATTTCCTCTGAATTTATTTAACACATGCAGTATCTATCTGAGTGTCTCCAAAGAGAAAGTTGCTGCATTTATGTACGTGGAACAACAGCAGTAACTTCATTTATGACTTCTAATTATTAAAATTATCCCTGACATGGAGACAGGATGGATCAGAACCTAACAGCAGGTCACAGCGTGGACTTTTATTCACCTGCAGGTAAATCATTCGTTACAGTCCTGAGCTCCGTCACAGCTGTCTTGGTGTTTTTATTTTACTGTTCACTTTATAATCAGAAATAAACAGTTTAATTAGCTGCTATTAGTTTAGTCTTTTGTTTATTAGCACATTATTGTGAAATCTATGAATGAATATGATGAATATTGACTGACGGTTGTCACGTTAACAGACTGATGAAGCAGCACTGTGTCTGAAAAGAGTTTTAGTTTCTGAAACTGAGAAAAACTGCTGCGTCTTTTTATCCATCTAAGATGTTTAGGTTATTCTATGTGACCTCCTTTTGATAACTAAAGTCTCCCCTGAGCTCAGCCTCCTGTTTCAAACCCTCCGCACGATGTGAAAGTCGAGCCTACGTGCCACATTATTCATATTACCACACCGGCGAGATAAGGGTTTCATAGTTCTGCTGCAGCCCTCTTTTAGTTTATCCCTCCCTAAGTTCGGAGGATTTTCTACTTTTATCAGCTCGCTGAAAGCTTCCATGATGTCAGAGAGGAGAGCTCCCTCTGTTCTGTGTCATTGAGGGGTTTGAGGTTTGCTTTATGGCTTCGTGGGTCGTTCTCTGTAGAACACAAAACCCAGTGAACCCTATATGATACACCCAGAGATGATATGTCAGTAAAAATAGCTGCCCTCTGCTTCTCTATTGATTCCTTTTCTCTCCTTCCTCGTTTCTTCTGCTCATCCGTCAAGCTCAGGAATTGTTTTCGTTATGTTTCCCAAAATACCGGAGCCGCTCCGTCTTGGTGAAATGTTCTCTGGCAGATCGCTCCAGACTTTTTTCCTTTTTTGTGCAACAGGTTTGGCTCGGTCGGGTTTGGTTAGATTAGCCTTTTGGCTCGGCTCGGCGAGATGTTAGTAATCTCACGCGGATGAAATAATGGTTAAATAATGAAAAGGCTAAATGTTTTCGTCGTCGGCTCTGCCAGGGAAAGATTCCAGCCGTGTTTGTGTTCCGCCATAGCAACAGCGCAGCCGGTAAACCCAAAACAAAGCCTCTGGACTGCAGGAGACGAAACTATCACAAGTACATCGTACATGTGCAGCTACAGCTGATTTATCATTATGTGAAGCTATTCTGTTCCATTCCTCTGGCAAACAAAACCACTGGTGTGTGTATGGTTTAAATCAGATAAAAGGTTTGCACGCTTTAAGGCATCCAATCAATAATTTAACTCTCTTTTTTTAAACTTATTTGAAGCCGAGAAGTGTGAAGACCTTTCTCTGAACTGTGCTAGGTTTTCTTGTCTCGCACCTTCAAAAGTTTTTTGGTTGGACGTGTTCACATCTGGGACCTCCCGTGTGTATAATTCATTACAATTAGAGGCCAAATGTGTTCAAAAGATGACTTAGACGAGTTAAAAAATTAGATTTGGAGATGCCGTAATGTAGTAATCAGACACTTCCCAAAGTTTTGGCCATTGAAGATGTCAGATCTGACAATTAGATGAGCACCAAAGACGTGGTTCTCCTCTGGGGGGGTTTATCGGGGTCACTATGAAAACGCCAAAACATAGCGAGGCGCATCATTTCATGGGTTTTGCAAAGTTTAAGCAGACTGGTATGAGATGCAACGACGGCTTAATGATAATTACACATGAATGTGAATTAAAGAATCCATATTCTGCTAATTTTCAGTTTATAAATGTATTTTTGGGGTCTATTAGAACATGTTTACATGCTTTAATGTTTTAACTTTAAGGCCCTTCTTCTGAAAAACCCAACTGATTAGAAGGCTCGGTGGAAACGAGGTAAAGCCACTGCTGCACCATAACGTCAAATCTCAAAGTATGGGGTCGTAGCTTCAGCTGAAATGATTCTAGATTATGGTGACCTGGCAGCTTAGTCTTCGTTTTAGGGCTAAAGCAGCTTCTAGGCAGGCGTAGTGACATAAATAAGCAACAGAAGTAAAGTCTGGACTTCAAATGAAGCATTTCAGGCAGTGAAGAGTTTTCTGTGTGGGACAATAAATCCTTTGCATAAGAAAGCATTTATACAACACACTGATAAATGGAGCCCACAACCCCCAAAAAGCAGAACATGGGTTCTTTCAAGACTGAATTACAACATCAGTCAAGACTCACCCATAGATCCATCGTAGTTCTCCGACTCTGTGCCGAGGAAGCTGTTGACTTTCTTCACAGCTGCCATCTGGACCTCCAGGTCTGCCAGGTTCCTCACGACCCAGTTCAGGTAGTTGGTGACCTGAACAGAGACGTACAGAGACATGGATCACTCATCTATGTACGGCGTAAATAATAAAGGCCCAGGAGTTATGTGAAGGGAGGACATGGTAGCTAGTATTTTACCCACAAACCAGCCAGTAGTCTTGTGCTAATACTACCTGTTCTGTATATGTACTTAATTGGTATCTTTTCCCATTTAAAGCCACCATGAATGGACTGTTTGATTACTCTGATGCAGGCCACAAGCTAAGCTTCAACACAACAGTAAAATATCTTTAAGACAAAGGTCTCCTCTCCAAGACTGACGGCCTATTCTGGTTTAATGGTGCACATGTCGACATTCTGACTGTTGTTGGGAAAAACTGTCACGATATCATAAATGCACTATTTCTTATATTTATATGTACATTTTTTCTTCTGTCTCGTATATGTGTATCTCTGTTTAATGCTGCTATCAACAATATGAATTTCTCCACTGTGAGATAAATAAAGGCATATCTTATCTTATCTTATCTTAAATACATGATATAAATCACGCATTTCAAACTGGGCTTGTTAAGTTTGTTCTGCAGGATTTGGCTGAAAGATTTGACAAAAATGACATTCTTGTTTATGACACAGTGAACTAAACAGGGACTGAAACAGGCCATTAAAACGACAGCTTAACCAGAAATCACCCACAAGCTGCTAAAATACTGATTCCACAACGTCGCCCTATAAACTCACCATACACATGAAGCAAAACCGAAAGAAATTCAGCTTTGTTTTCATAAAATATGGAGCTACTCCAAAACTACACAACAAAAAAGAAAAGGAGTTGCTTTAGCTGCTCTGTGCTTTCTCACGTTGTTTGATAGAAACTTGGACTTCTGTTGGTTTTGCACTTAAATAATGAGGTCTCGTTTTTTATTTATTTATTCTTTATCATGTTGGAGTTTCCAGTTTAACTCACCAGTTTCCATTCGGTATTGTGCTGCATTATACTTAACTTAAATGAGAGCAGCTTTTTGTTTTTTATGGAGTTAAAACGGAGATAATTAGTTATAAAACAGTCAATAAGAAAAACCAAGAGAACGCTAAAAGAGAAAACCCACCGTGAGGGCGTAGGTGAGTCCGAGGCCCACCAGGCCTCCGGCGGGCAAACCGTATCGTAAACTCCATATCGACGTTCCTGCTGCTGTTAGCACGATCACGGCTCCGAGGTAGTCCTGCACCGGGGTTCAGAAAACAAGCAGAAACTATAATTCACGACATTTAAACTGTTAAAATCTACATTTACAAAGAGTTGAGTTGATAAATTGGTGTAAGAGGGGCAAAAACACATCACAGTAACATAATATTTAAGCAGATATGAGCTTTATATCTTCTTTTTTTCATATATTTCATTGCTTTCATTGCTTCCGTGAACATTTTTCCATCTTTTGAGAAAGTCAGTTTCTCACCGTTCGGACCTCCAGCCAGCGGTTGGCAGCCGACAGGAACAGGTAGGCCGTGTTATTGGTGTCTGTCAGCTCCAACATCCGCTGTTTAAACCGAGCCTCGTGTCTGAAACAAACACAAGACACATAAAATACAACAAACCTTCCACAAACCAATTCAGAAGTATCATACATCGCTGGGGTCTTTTCCTCGGGGGGCTCAGAGCTTTCTCTATTCGGTGTAGAGCAGAAATCTAAAAACAATAAACTCACAAACGGAGCCGTGTTTGAAACGGGCTTTACATAATAAACGGAATATAAACAGGAAATAAAAACGTACACAAACCCATCAAAAACAAACAATTTTTCAATTAAGAGAACAAAACTGCTGCGATGTTGTTCCGTCTCTAGGTTTTATCTTCTGCGAGGAAGTCGCTGCCATCTGAACTAGACGTGGTTTGGAGGGAGACCAGTGGATAATGATAATGGGAACCATCCCGTGATTGCCAAGAATCTGTCTCAACACCAGATTCACTATTTCTGCATGTATTTGTGTGTGTGTGTGTGAGTCTCAGCGTTTGTATATTTGTGTGTGTGTGTGTGTGTGAGGAAGAGGAAATCCTCAGGGAAGAGAGGAGAAAAAAGCGTGAGAGCTGTTTAATGTTGGATTAAATCGACGATGGGAAACAGGGTGAAGACAGAAATACAAGACGATGCTTCCACCGATACGAGAAGCGTCTATCACCAGAGTTAGAAGCAGAGCTACTGTCGCTGATTTCATCGCTGTCGGCTCTTTAACGGTGCTTTACATTCTCGCTGGATTCACTCGAAGAGCCACGAGAGACGCCGAAGCAACTGTGTTTTAGTGTTTTGCTCAAAGATGCTCGGAAACGTGGACGCATAAGAATGGATGCATTTGGAGTTAAGGTTTTAGTTACAGTGAGACTTAAGACTGAGGGATGAGAATCAATAATCGATAAATGGCTGGAATTAATGAAATACGATTGACAGTTTTTTTTAAAATAATACTGTTTTAAGCCACTAAAACGTACATGAATGTTTGAAGAACGAAGACATAAAACAAATATTTTCTATTCTATTTTTTTTTTTACTATATTTTCTAACTTGTTGTGATTTGGTGTTTTCTTTTTGCTACTGTAACAAAACAATTTCCCAGGTCTGGAATAAATAAAGTATTTCTATTCTATTCTATTGACTATAGTTTAAATAACAATAAACTATGAGTTTGTTGAAAATTGGTATCCAGCGACTGACCCGACAAAATCCAGAGTGTTAAACGCAGCAAACAAGCTGCAGTCATTCACTGGAAATAAGCTGCATTTTATCTCTCTACAGCGGTTTTTATAATCCTCACATCCGATCGGACATGACGGAGCGATTCGTTTACTGCAGTTGCTGGTCAGCTGGAATAAATGTTCACAAAAATGGTTGTATTAAAGTTGTCAGTTCAGAAAACCTGTCAGTATTTGCTGCTACCTCCAAAACGATTCTTTATTCTCAGAGCAGAGCGTCGCTGATGCACTTCATCACTTTAGCGTGGTCGGAAGTCTGTAATCAGAGTCCTGCCGCTCCTGAACGTTACCAGCGTCTCTGCTCCTCGTCTGTATTTCCACTCACCTAGCTTAGCATAACCCTAGCTTAGCATTAGCCTCAGTTAGCTAGTCACCTTTTTACAACTCGATGCCACAGAGCTCATCAACACAGCTAGCAGTTAGACAACAGGGAGGTGCGCTTGTTTTGTGGACCTTTTAGAGGCGGTCACCAAACACACCTGTAACTCCATCTCACTAAACAGTAGGAAGCTCCTCCTGGTGGAACAACCAGGTACTGCAGCTAATCTGCAATGCATTTGTTGACGTCCTAGTGGTTAATATATAATTTTAACTGATTACATTGAGACATAAAATAACCAGCTACACACAATTACACGTGTAAGGTGGAAGCAAATAAGACACGCAAAGCACAAAAACAGGTGATACCTGAATGCTCGTATCGTGGTCAGACCTTCAGCTGTCTCAGAGAAGTGGCAGAGCAGAGGAAGCTGTGTGGAGTCATCGAGGTCCTGGAGATCCCTGAGAGTTTTCACAATAAAAGAAACTTCATGTGCACATGTATTTGTATGTATACACAGACAAGTGCCTGGTGTTCTTAGTGCTACCAGTTCAGCGCCACAGTTGTTAGACAATCGTAAAAACATGGATGTTGTTCAGTAACAATTCAGCCAAGCTACAGCCCACAATTAAAGTTAAATATTTTGGGTTTATAACAATGAAGAACACACTGATTTTCCTCCAGATTTCCCACAAATCTCAAAGCTCAAGTTTCCTGCAGCAAGAAGAAAGAGTTTACTGCATCTAAACAAACTCCCCGGTTTGTTTAAAACACAAAAACTATAACAAATCCACTGTGGACTCACTTGGACGCGACCCGGAAATACTTCTGAATGAAGTAGAAGGCCACCCCCAGGGGAACCAAGGCGAGCAGGAAGGCGGGAGTGATCGAGGCTATGACCCCGATGGCCGACAGACAGAGCAGCGTGGACCTCGTCAGAGACTCCAGCGTCGGAGGAATATGCTGAAAGAGAAGAGACGATGGAGTGAGAAGGCATCCATGTTCGGTTCCTGCTTTTAATTTGCAGATAACAGAGCGCTAAATAGAACAAAAACACAACCACACACTGAAATCTATGAAAGAAATAATTGTCTGTGCAACACCACAAATAGACAATAACGTAAAAACATACAAATCAGTTTACCTGATCGATGATGTTGGTATCAGCTGAGAACCTGTTGAGGATCTGCCCCAGAGGAGTGATGTCAAAGAACCTGAGGAGAGAGAAATAACACACTTAGCATGTTTTTCTAGCTCTGAAATTGAAAAAAAAGGTTATATGATTGATTATCTGCCCCCATAAAATAAAGTGCGGTTACTTGTGAAACAAAACAGCAACAGAAAACACCCCCTTAATAATGTATTTCTCAGGAAACCCATTAGTTTTAGCCACAGTCCCCCTCCAAGACATGTCCTTGTGCGCTGCGATGCTGCACGTTAAGGTTGGACGTGTTGCAGCTGAGTGTTTGTGTACCTGATGGGGGCGTGGATGATCTTGTTGAGCAGGTTGTGGTGCAGGTTGGTGGCTGCAGAGAGACCCAGAAACTCCACCGTGAGCGAGGTGATGAGGCACAACGTGATGCCGGCCGCACACAGGACGATGAACACCGGCAGATAGTAGGAGTCCTGCTGCAGAGAGACGAGACGCACACGGTGTCAAAACAACAACAACAGAAGCACTTGAACCGATTGATGCTGAACATTCATCTGTGGTTTTTCTTCGCATGTCTGTATTGCTTCTGATTAAAGCTTTGCTCTTCAAGGAATTTGTTGTCGTATGCATTAAAATGTCACCTGTGTGTGTTATGTACAGATACATGATTACACACAGTTACACACACAGACTGAAACTGAACATGCAGGTACACACAGTAAACAAATGTGCAGTTTAGTTTGGTATACTCCCACAAGTGTACATACAATGTGAAAAAATTTACCGTTTTTAACTTTAATTTCTTGAACAGTTTACTGGTATTTTACAAATTTTCCCTGTTTTGTTAAAATACAGACAATAACTACTAAAATCATCCAAAAACAAAAATTAATTTACAAATTTACATTTAACGTGAACAAAATAGGTCGAAACAGAAAATAACATTAAAAATCTGTACTTTTACAAATAGTAATTCATGATTTTATGTTTGACTGCAAAATTACCCTAAATTAGCCCAAAAAAACCCCCGACAATTATATTCCAAATATTTGCCGTTTTCTGGGGGGGAAAAAAAGAAGAATATTAAGGACTGAAAAATAATAAACAAGCTTTAAACTGTTTTTTTTAAAGATTTTTCCATTTTGTTAAACTACGTAAAATATCTAGTAAATCATAAAAACTATTAATTTACATGTTAGCTGCTCAAAAAATTGCATTTTTACAATTACTTAAAAACAAATATTTTACTGTATTTAAATCAGCTAATAATTACCATGATTTTATAAACATTTGTCCTTGTTTTCACCTTTTTGTCAACAGTTTTTGAAAGTTAATTTATCTTTGACGTATTTTCTGGCCCTCTTGCTGTCAGATTTTTACAGTTTGTTTTAGTTTTACAGGGTTCTCCTTTTCATTTTACATAACTGCTCGTATATTTCGTCTTATTATGCACTCAGGAAGTTGAGAGCAGATAAAGAACATCTGATTTTATTGAATTAACTAATTATTTTATTGGATTAACTCGTTAAAACACCCTGGACAGAACTATCGTACCTCAGCGTCCGAAGTACCAGGGGTGGGAAGTGTGCCGTTAGCAGGTCTGGTTCCATTAAACATGTCCGATCCGCCTTCTGTGCTCTGGTTGGTTTTGGAGGAGGTCCAGAGAGCCAGCCAGTAGTCGATGGCAACGATGACGGAGTGTTTGAGGAGTTTAGAGGAAACCATGAGGAAGACCATGAAGAAGCCACCAGAGGACAGGTAGCACCAGCACACCTGAGGAGACCAAGGAGCAATGTTACGTTAATTATGTTAATGTTCTTTCCTGTCATGGTCTGTGGTTCTGTTGTTAGTTCATCACTTGTTTTATTTTGAAAAGACACCCGTGCTTCTGTGTTTGTAGTCGTTCTACTTCCTCCCTTGATTGCTCTCGCTAGTTTCCCCTCGTGAGTCAGCTGTCTTGTTTCCTCAATTAGTTCTTTCTTTGCCAGTTGGTCTGTTAACATACTTCATGTCCACCTGCCTGTTTTCCTTCTCTGACTCCGGTTTGTACATTTAGTTCGTTGGATACTGTTTGTCACCCAGTTACCCGCCTTGTTTTCCTTTATACTCCTCTTACAACTACGGTTTCTTTTTGTATAACTTGCATTTCTGGTGGGCTTTTTTTTTTTTTTGGATTCAGTTTTTGGATTAGTTTCTTGGACATTCCGTCAGATTTTAGTCCGTATACACCTGGATTCTCCAGCCCTTTAGCAATTTTAATTAAAGTTCTCAACTCAACTCATTCATTTCTGTCTAGATCTAAAGACGTGTGAAGGTGAGTAAATGGGTTTCCCTGCAAAGAGGAATTATTGGCGACCCCCTAAGAGGTTTAGCTAGCACAGAAGGAAAATATCCAAAATGATATGAATTGAGACTAAACATAGCAGGTAAACCGTTTTCTTACCTGAGGTTTTCATTTACTTCAGTATATACCACATATTTGGCTATAAAATGGTCAGAAACACCAGGAAACTGTTTATTATTATTATTATTATATTTCTGTTAAATAAGTAAAGAGACTCATTGTCTTTACTATAGGTGGACCAATCTGACTGTAATGTGTAGTCAACCCACCAAACGACTACTCCAAGGAAAAAAAATGTAAGAGGGTGGGTTACCTTCCAGGGGATCTTTGATCGTCTGTTGGTGGTCGTGGACATGTTGTCATCGTCTTCCTCCTCCTCCTCTTCCTCTGTTGGAATAAAATCAGACGTCACTCGAGGAAACAATTCAATTCATCATAGATACAGAAAAGAAGCTCAAGATTTGATGCAACCTCTGAGATACAGAACCTTGAATCCTCTCACTTGATTCTTTCCACTCAAGTTTTAGTCTTTCAGTGATAATGATTGTGTGTTATTATGTCTTCTGCATTTTTGAAGGACAACTCAAGACAACATTAGCCACAAGAAATGAGACCAAAAAGCCATCCGTCACCTTCATCCTCATCGTCGATCTGGTTCTTGGCCTCTCTGGAGTAGAAAGCTCTCCTCAGCGTCTTCCTCTCGAGCATTGTTTGACTGTCCTGCTGTATGTCCTACAAACGGTGGATAAGAGAAACATCGCAGCGGAGATAAATCACAGCCTTTACAGTCGAGCCGTCTGTCAGCTTCAGAACTTGCACCGCCGCTGTTTATGTCTGCGTTATGTCGACGGGGCTGACTGAGATACTGCATTTACCTTCTCCAGCTCCTGGTCCTGTCTGTTCATCAGGGTTTTCCAGTGATCGTAAAGCTCCACGTCGTGAGTCTGAATGTCTTTCAGGGTTCCCTCTCGTAGCACTGAGCCGTCCTTCATCGCTATGATCTGGAAAAAAAAGACATAAATCCACCGGAAAATGTGTTCAAGTGAAGTTAACTGAGCTAATTACTGCTTATTTGAACCACTTTATCGACTCTCTGGGTTGGTTAATATGCTGATGTTTGACAAAATTCTCAGTAATCTTCCATCAGTTATTGTTGGCAGAACATTTATTTGGCTTTACTCCAACTAAAAATGTCAAAGAAGCTGCTGGCGTGGCTGCATTTTGTCCAAACTGATGGCACAACAACCAGCATCGTCTAAACTATTTACCAGCTGATGTGGTTCTATTTTCAGAAATCATACGAGTATGTGCAGCTGGTCTGTTCAGCATAAAATAATCATGTTTAAATGACTTAATATGCTGCAAAAAAACTGCTTTTTATGTATATTTAGAACTCATTTGGCCCAAAAAGGCTCACAGGTGGAGCGGCAACCAATCAGCTCTGATTTCAGTCCAAGGTTTTCTATTTTTTCCTATGTAGAATACTATTCGTGCTGTGGGCTTCAGGCTGAACGTCTCACCCAGTCAGCGTGGATGAGATACTGAAGCTTGTGTGTGACCAGGACCACCGTTCGCTTATCATCCTGCAGGAACTTGAGGATTCCTTCCTGCATCAAGTGATCGCTGAGGTGGATGTCGAGCGCCGAGAAAGGATCGTCCTGTGAGGTGTGAGAAAGACGAGGAGATTTTTAGAGGGCGACTATCAATCAGTCATCCTGGAAGAAAAAAAGTCTGGCTGACGAGAATTCAATTGTGTTACAGAAACCCAAGGACCAAAAACAGAGATACACTAAATGCTAAACAGACGTTTTGGACTCAGCCGGGAAAGAATCTGACGCAGATGAAACTCCGACTGCCCCGGCGTTGCCCTGGGCTCTGTCAGGTTTCCCAGTTCTAAATGGATTCCTGGAAGATCGCATCACGCCGCGCGGATTATTCCTGACAGTGAAGTCAGGGATTGCGGTGTGTTTCCTGGGAAGCCTCCAGATAACTACGTAGTACGTCATCATCAGTCTGTGATTCTGAGCAGAAGAAGCTCCAAATGCAAATCATGACTTAACCTCGTGTTTTCACGAGACGTCAAACACTCGGGAAAAGTGGGTCATTTAACGGCAATGCATCAGTTAGGATCAGGATCTTAGCTGATCGGTATCTGCACAAACCTCAGCCCGATCTTTCGTAACAACATATTACTTCCTTATGCTGATAATGTCATACCAGCTTGGTTGCAGGTTTGTGCCAGTTTTAGCACATTCCTGCTAATTTTGAGTTTGTGAGGTCATTAACCTAAGTCTTTGTCATGGTGCTCGTTGCTAGCTAAACCCCCACAATGCTCTCTGCTTCCAACATTAACCCCCTGTGGTTCAAATGTCCGCCTCCTCTGGTCTCTACAGCATCAACAACCAGGTACTACAGCTGATCTAGAACATGTTTTCTGACATCCATGTAGAGAAAACAGATTTTCTCCGTCTTTTGGAGCTTGTGGAGCCACCATAGAGCTAACCCTCTCACGCTACATTACAGATAGCGTCCTGCCGACCACCAACATGACATTATGGAGCAGCCTGGAGGCACTGGGTTGATTTTAGTAACTTTAGTGTATTTGAAGTGACTGTTATCTTTAAAATAAAACGGTTTTGGACTCTATGTTGGTAGATAGACAGTGCATCTTGTATCGTCCCTGTCTTTTTAAATTAGTCGATAAAACTATATGTTTGTTGCATTCATTTGCAGAAAGGAACATTTCTATGGGGGCATTATTGTAACTGTCAGATTGAGTTTGGGCAAAAAAATCCCTGCTAGCAGGTGGGCTTTACATGACTTATTAGCTTTAACAGTTATGTTAAAGTGAAAATTAAAGCAACAGCAACACTTTAGATTAACCCTTAGAGGCCTGTTATGGACGTTTTTACATACTTTTAGTTTTGTCTTT